AAAATGTATCCATTTAAAATCTTAGCAGGTGTGTACACTTGCTAATTATTATTCTCGAGCTCCGTTTGCCTTGTTGTCCTGCCTGATCAGCGCTACAGCCCTACCTCAGTCCCTCCAGTGTCTCTTCTCTCATACCTGGCTGTAGAGCTCCAGCTGAGAAGGCCACGCAAGCATCTGACTGGAGCTCTGTGAATCAGTAGAGTTCCCTGTGTACCCCGCAGTGTTCCTGTTGACTAGGCCCGTTCTTGAAGGTGGCTTATTCCAGCTTTCTCAGTGTTTCTCCTGCCTGCCTTTACCACCTGTTCATTCACTCTCAGCCATCAACCCTCCTCTCAGCTCTACCGCTTTCAACTACGTCTCCATTGCCTTCTTCCTGTAGGCATTGAAAAATGTCTCTACCCAGTCACCAAAGACCACCCCCAACCCCCAGTGACACGGCGCAGCTATCTAGCCACCGTCCTGTCTCTGCCAGTCACCAAAGACCACCCCCAACCCCCAGTGACACGGCGCAGCTATCTAGCCACCATCCTGTCTCTGCCAGTCACCAAAGACCACCCCCAACCCCCAGTGACACGGCGCAGCTATCTAGCCACCGTCCTGTCTCTGTCAGTCACCAAAGACCACCCCCAACCCCCAGTGACACGGCGCAGCTATCTAGCCACCGTCCTGTCTCTGCCAGTCACCAAAGACCACCCCCAACCCCCAGTGACACGGCGCAGCTATCTAGCCACCGTCCTGTCTCTGTCCTTGGCTTTGCAGCCAGACCTTTTGAATAAGATGTTTTTCGTCATGACCTCACCCTACATCCCCTTTCTCTGTGAAATTTAAATGGTGTTTCTCAGGATTCTGTCCTAAGCACATTTACATTTGTGATGTACATGTTCTTCCTGGGAAACTGTAACTTCATTCATGGCTTTATATCATCTGATTATACACCAGAGCCTGATGGGTTGTAGGTGGCACACTCAAAAGTTTACATCGTCTCTGCATGTTGACTGGAGCCTTTAATCCATTTCTATTTAATGTAATTACTGATAAGGCAGAATTTACATCTGCAATTTTGCTGTTTGTTTTCTATGTGCCTTGTGACATTTTTGTGTGTCTTTGTAGCTCCATTACTGCCTTCTTTTGTTTTAAATATTTTCTAACGTGATGTTTTAATTCCTCATCATTTCTTTTATAATGTACTTAAAAAACTATTTTGTTAGTGATTGCACCAGGGATTTTAACTAACACAGCTCACTCCTAGCTAGGTTTAGTGTTTTTGTTGAGTAAATGCTCCTGGAATTCTTTCAAGTCTAGTTATTTCCCAGAGTTCTGAAACAGTTGCTTTTGATAATATTCACTAGTCTTCTCATTGCAGTTATACAGAAGTATATTTTCAGAGGTTTTTATACTGCCATCCCTGCTTACTTCACCTACTTATTTATTAATTTGTCCTGTTTTACAAATGTGTATCCAGTGTAATGAATAAGAAAATGCTTTGATTTGGGAGATGGTATTGTATTAATTGCCCTTTTAACAATTATGATAGAAATATATGGAAGATACTATTCCAAATATGAAAACAGTTTTGAGTAATTAAGAGGAAAAGATTATGTAGATTGTGTTAGAAGATAAATTATGAACAAAGTCAAGCACTTTAAAGCTGAAAGGGTATTTGGAAATGTTCACTTTTCAGAATAGGAATCTGAGGGCTGGAGAATGTGAATACCTTGCTTAACATTATATGACTAATAGCAATTTTATGGGTTTTTTTTGGTTGTTTTTTGTTTTTTTGTTTTTGTTTGTTTTTTCTCTTTTTGGAGGAGGTCCAGGCTCCAGGCTGGAGTGCAGTGGTGCGATCTTGGCTCACTGCAACCTCCGCCTCCCGGGTTCCAGCGATTCTCGTGCCTCAGCCTCTTGAGTAGCTAGGACTCCAGGCATGCCACCATGCCTGGCTGATTTTTGTATTTTTAGTAGAGATGGGGTTTTACCACATTGACCAGGCTGGTCTTGTACTCCTGACCTCAAGCGATCCACCTGCCTCGGCTTCCCAAAGTGCTGGGATTATAGGTGTAAACCACTGAGCCCAACCACTAATAGCAATTTTGGAAATTCTTCCTCAGCCTCTTAAAAATCTTTTCACTGCATCATTTTTAAGCCGTAGTAAGACAGAAAAACGTAAATGGAGTATTAGAACATTACTCAAATGAGATACTCTGTTGTGTTAACCTTGGATAAATAACACTTTCAAATTGATGATGTTTTAAAACATTTCTCTCTAATTTTGTCTTACATTCCACGTTGTAGGGAGAATCACTCTTTGTAGTGGAGTGATATTTAATATTTTGAATGTCGTGGATCCCTTTGAGAATCTTAAGTATTATCACCTCTTTCCTCAGAAAAATGTATACAGTGCACACGTACACTAGATTTTTTATTGTTTACATATCCCTGGAAGATTATTGATGGGTTCAAGTTAAGACCCTGCCGTAGTTTGTTTTAACCTATGCTTCTATTTTCATCCTCAGTTTTATTTTTTCTGTCAAATTAAAATTGTTAAAATAGTAGTTACTCAAATGCAGATATTAAGAAGTCAGGGCCGGGCGCGGTGGCTCACACCTGTAATTCCAACACTTTGGGAGGCCGAGACAGGCGGATCACGAGGTCAGGAGATCGAGACCATCCTGGCGAACAGAGTGAAACCCCGTCTCTACTAAAAATACAAAAAATTAGCCGGACGCAGTGGCAGGCACCTGTAGTCCCAGCTACTTGGGAGGCTGAGGCAGGAGAATGGCGTGAACCCAGGAGGCAGAGCTTGCAGTGAGCCTAGATCGCGCCACTGCACTCCAGCCTGGGTGACAGAGTGGGCCGTCTCAGAAAAAATAAAATAAAATAAAATAAAATAAAAAATAAAATAAAATAAAAAATAAAAATAAAAAATTTGTGTTATAATATTGCTTTCAAGAATTCTTAGCTTTAGAAATTCTGTTTGTGTGATTTTTAAGTAATTAAAGTTTTCTTATTGCCTACTTGTTTTCAGTAGACTACAAATGTACTGAAGTTTTGTATCTGCTAACACTTTTAATACTATTTTATTGCTTTTTAGTTTTGGTTTGAAAAAAATCTGATAATACATTGTTTATTATAATAAGAACATTTTAAATCTTAGATATGATAGAAGTCCTAAGTGTTAATATATGCAGCGTATCCCAGCTTGAACACTGGCAGCTGGGTGCTTGTCAGTACAGCATGGCAGGTTGCTTATGGCATCATATTGACTGTGTATTAACACAGAGTAATCTGTTGGACTGTGAGCTGATTGTTTAGAATGTAAATGAAGCTGTTGATGGATCTGGTGACTGATGGCTTAAATTCCAATTAATCAATTGCTTCATCACTTTCTTAATTCAGATCAAATATCTCCAGAGTGCACACAATTCTTTTAGTGGTATTAAGAGAAATTAATGCTTTAGAACTAATTTCATCAATCTCTTATAAATGCCAATATCTTTTTCACTTGTCTCCTAAGTGATGACATTATACTTTAAGTGTTTGGGACATATTATAGTACCTCAGCTGTCACTTGTTAGTGGGACAGGGGGTGGTTAAATGACACTGTACTCATCCACATGATCTCTGCAGTGCTATTCATCTTGCTACCAGCTTGAAAATTTCAGGCTGAGTCGTTAAATCATATAAATGATTTAAAAATTAAGTTTAATGGCAGACGATCTGGTGTTATAAATGCAAAGTCAATGCCTATCTTTCTTTTGTTGGCCCATCTCTTTCAGAGCTATTGGATTTGTGAGCTGTTGTAGGAAGTCTGCTAATATTACAGGGTGACTTGTGCGATATGACAGACTCGTGCTCCGATGATGTCCCATCAGTTTCTTCAGCACACTTGATGCATCCTCCTGTGTGACACATACACGAGTTGATCTTAATTTAATTGTCATTAAGCCTGTCCTTTCCTGTCGACTCTTGTCAATTGTATAAAATAAAATCAAGTATTCATAAGCAGTCTGTAATAGGATATAAGCAGACCAATTTAATAATATGTTTTTTGCTGAGCCTTAACTGGCGTCAGTTGTAGCGAGTGCTTTCTGTTAAAAAATTATTAGATGCAGTTCTTGTGGAACAAGTCAAGCTGGCCATACTTCTGATTTGCTAGAGTTCATTCTTTCTCTCTTTAAATCACATCAGTTACTGCAAGGTTAGTATTTTTAACTGTACTTAACTTGAGTAAAAGTAATAACATGTCATTTTTCTTCTAAGTTTAAAAAATAGCATATGATTTAATATGAGGCATGTCTTTTTTCTTTAAACAAAGGCAGCTATTTTTTCAGTGTTTAATAAGTTTACAGAAATTTAGACATTTATTTCACTTTTAGAAACACAGAATGCGGGAAATTTATGAGAATCCGGAGATTCTCACTTGTCTTTTCTTTATGTGTCAGATTGAGTCTAGAATCCAGTCCATTTTATGTTACTTTTATATTTTATATCGGAATATTCACACATACATAAAGGGGAAAATTCAATCTAGAAAAAAATACCGTAACTTTGAAGTAATATGCGCTGCAAACTTTGATGTACTGCTTCTTAGCTGAAAACAGCGAGCTTGTGCAATATATTTTTTTATAATTCTTTTGACAGATCCATAACACGGTTTATTTAAATATATCCGTGTGTGTGTGTGTGTGTGTGTGTGTATACACGTGTATAAGTATATGTCTCTAAAATCTTTAAAATTAACCTTAATTGTTCAGTTATTTACCTTTAGGAATACTCGTTTTAATATTTTAATATTTTATTTTATACACACACACAGAGAGAGAGAGAGAGAGAGAGAGAAAGTCTCACTCTGTCACCCAGGCTGGAGTGCTGTGGCTTAATCATAGCTCACTGCAGCCTCGAACTCCTGGGCTCAAGTGATCCTTCCACCTCAGTTTCCCGAGTAGCTGGGACTACAGGTGCTCGCCAGCATGCACCATGCCCCACTAATTTTTTGTTTTTTGTAGAGATGGGGTTTTGCCATGTTGCCCAAGCTGGTCTTGCACTTCTGGGCCTAAGCCATTCTCATGTCTTGGCCTCCTAAAGTGTTGGGGTTACAGGCGTGAGCCACTGTGCCCTGTAATCAGATGACATTGTCTCAGATGTAACTTTAATTGATAACGCCGATAACTGGATAATCTTTTCATGGCTCTTGATCTTTTTGTGCCTCAGACAAGTGGGTTAATGTCTCTGTATTTCTCAGATTCCATTTTAACAGTGATAATTCCCATAGTACAGGGTAGTTAAAAGGATTAAAAATAAAATTGGTGGGGTGATTACATAGATAGGGCACTTTTAGGCACTGAGTTGCTGGAAGCTACAATTAGTTGAAAATGTATCAGCTAGGAGAGAAAAAATATTTAATACTTGTGTAGAGTAAGAGACCTCAAGAATACTCAGTAGCAGGCGGAAATACTTCTAGGAGGTTCGGCGGTCGGGGGGAAAGGAGGGTGTTGTAGATGTGGATTTGCATGGACATTTCAGTTGTAGAATGTTCTGTGGAAAGGGTAGGCTGGACTAAGCTATGTGAAGATCTGTTCTTACATAATCTAATGATTTCTCCAAATTTGAGAAACAAGTAGCTACCATGATACGAGTTCCCAGTATATGACACTCATGACAGGCTTTCACGTATTTTCCATGAAATTTTACAACATAACTTCAGGGTAAGTCTTATACAGATAAAAAAAAAAACAACAACAACAACAACTGAGGTCTAACAAGTCAAGTTACTTGAAATTCAGGGGCATTGAGTAGTCAGTTACAGGGCTGGTGATCAGCTTCTGACTGTCTGACTCTGCCTTCTCAGTTATGCCAGCTTTGGGATGGAAGCCTCCAGAGCAGGCATTCTTAGCTCTATCTAGCACTATTGGTGCTTTGGGCCCAATATGTCTTTGCTGTGGTGGGCGGGTCTGTCTTCTACACTGTTGAGTGTTGAGAATATTCTTGTCCTCATTCTACCAGAAGCCAGTAGCATTCCCCTAACTTCCTTTCCAGTTGTGAAAACCAACAGTGTCTCTATAAGTTGCCAAATGTGAATTGTCCCTAGCTGAAAAACTATGGAGGGCTTTTCATCCATTGAAGAGAATCTCTAAAATTAACCATAAGTGTTCAGTTATTTACCTTTAGGAATACTTGTTTTAATATTTTTCAGAGACCTTCTTTCTCAGTGAGAACAGATTGAGTCTGCAGAAATTGAGCCATGGCCTGTTATCTTCGTCTCTACCCCAGCTCTGTGTGCAGGAAGCTCTACTCTAAGCCTGTGCAGCCAAAAAGTCAGGGGCTCTGTCTTCTGCATTTCCTAGGCTACGGCTCCAGTCCCACCCAGGAAGGCCTGGCCATGGCTCTTATTTTCCCCAGACTCATTTGGCAGAAGCCCAATTCCTGACAGGCTTGGCCTAGGGCACTAACATAAAGTAACCTAAAGTGGACTAGATTCTAGACTCTACCTGGGCTCCTGAGCATTCTACCCCAGGGAGTCCCAGCCCCAGCAGCTTGTAAGGCAGAGCTGACAGTGCTGGAGGGGCTACACTACAACCTCATCCCCAGTGTCCACTTGATGACCTGAGTGTCACTCCTGGTAGAGCTGGCTGCTGTCCTGTCCCCAATTCCAATGCCGTGCTCCAGAGTGAGAGACAGGTCCTAAGGACTCTGAGTGCTCAGGGTGAGAGACAGGTCCTAAGGACTGAGATGTCTGCAGCTTTACCTACAGAGTTTGTTTGAAAAATAGCCTGGCAGAGTTCATTTCTGAGGATGTCGTTGAGAACACTGGAGAGCTTGGTGGTCACCATTTCAGAGGGCAGAAACAGCAACCCAGCTTCTTGGAGAGTACTGGATCCAACCTATCCTGGGGCCAGGAGGCTGTGTGCATGTGCTAGGCGCTCTCAGAAGCAGCTGCAGTGGGACTCGGGGCAAATGTGGAAGGACTCCCTGGGTGATGAACAGCCCTCCATGATGCGAGAGCTCACCAACCCAAGGGGCTTACCCACAACCTCTGAGCTGGCCAAATGATACACGGTCCTCTGTCCCCAAGGTGAGTCCTACAATGCTGAGCTTATACGTGACATCACAGGCATCCGTGTCAGTCTGGAAGATGGTTTGCGCACCCAAGGTGATGGTCTCAGGAGTCAATGGAGAACACCTTCAAGCCACCCATCCACCAATCCCTGACTAAACACGGGCAAAGTCACAAACTCCCTGAATTGTGAGCGGTCTCCAAGCCACATACAGCCAGTGATGAAGCGTGGAAGTCCAACTAGCTAAGCCAGCCTGAGCACCACCTCTTGTCACAGGATCTTTGGGGTGTCACTTTTCCAGCCAGAAACCTCTATGTCCCGTGGCGCCTTTGTCTGAGTTTTGCTCAGGCCCGCTGGGCTCATTCTGCCTACTTGGCCCAGCAGACTTCGTTCAGTTTGTGCTGCCGGCCCGGATCCCACGCCTGCTGAGGGCGAGCCAGGAACAGAGCGGCAAGAGGTGTGTGAGCGAGCGTGGGGTCTGGCCACTGCTCACAGCCAGGCATACCGACTGTGGCAGGGCAGGCAACTCCAGGTGCTGGCTGTGTGTGAGGCTGTTGCTGAACTAGGCGCTCTGTAAGCGGCTTCCACTGCGGGCACCAGGAAACGTGGCCCCAGGAGGCTTGGAGACACTAAGAACCACAGAGCCCCAAAGAGGATGTCACAGCCCTGGCTCAGTGAGCTGTTAGGTCTGGGCTCTCTGAAGGGCCACAGCTCTTCTGTCCTTCTCATTGCTTGCAATACGGCGAGTGGCAGGGCGTGTTTCAGCCCTGTTTGTGTTACAGCTCTTTCATTCCCACCATTCAGCTGGTCCTAAGTTCTTGTCCCGCATCCAGGAAGAACAAGGTATATGGACAACAGGAGGGTAAGCAAAGCAAATAGGTGCTTTATTGAGCCACAGTGCAGCTCTCAGGAGACCCTAAGTGGGTAGCTCCGCTCCACAGGCAGGTCATCGGGATGATTGCAGCTCTTAGTGGAGAGGAGACCCGGAGTAGGTAGCTCCTATCAGCAGGCAGGTTGTCCCGTTGAGTGTGCATCCCCCAGCGGAGAGGGGACCTGGAGTGGGTAGTTTCTCTCTGCAGGCAGGTTGGCTCGTGGAGTGTGCAGCCCTCAGCGTAGAGGGGACCTGGAGTGGGTAGCTCCTTCCCACAGCTGGTAGTCCCAATATCTGAGTGAGTCTGGCTGAAACTGGCCTTTTTTATGGATTCAGAAAGGAGGAGATGCGTGCTGATTGGTCCATGGACAGCCATGGCGGGCCTGGGAACAGCACTATCTGATTGGCTGTATGGTCATCAATGAAGTCTGCACTCCTGGCAGTGGACTTCACTGGGAACTGGCAGCCCGGCCCCCAGGCTTCAGATTGTTCCTGGCTTGAAGGTGGGGTTTCATAGGGGACCTGCCCGTTTTTGCCCAGGAACTTGTCTGACTGCCACCATCAACATGCCATGTATGGCTCCCAGGCTGTTTGTCCCAAGGGGTGCCTGCAGGCCTGCCCGGAGCCACTCTCCCACGCTTGTTGGTGACCAAAGTCTGGAGGGGGCCGAGCCAGCAGAGTGCCGGGCATGTCAGCACTGCCCCGAGCACATGCATAGCTGCCAACTCGGAAGGGGATGGAGATCCTGCCAGCTCCATGGAGCGTGCAGCCCTGGGCACGCCTCCCTCACTGCAGCTGGTGTCTTCGCAGCCGCCACTCCAGAGGGGCCACTGCTGCCATCACATTGATCAGAAAGTGGTTTACATGGAGCCAGGAGCAACCTCCGGAAAGCCAAGAAAAATAGAAGGAGACTTTGCCGTGGTAGTTCAGCCCGGCGACTGCAGAGTCTGAGCAGGGGGCCCATGGCTGCATCCTGCAGGGGGATGGATTTCCTAGTAGTAGTTCAGCCCAGTGAATATAAAAATAAACAGATGACTGAAACAACAAACAACCCAAGTGTAGTTTTATTTTTTGTTTTTTTGTTTTTTGTTTTGACATTTGTATATTGCAGTTGCAGCTGTTCAGTAAGTCAACTCTTGGTTGAAGTGCTGAGGTGGGGGACTGAGCTATGTGTTCTTGTATAACGGGTTTGGAGTTAGATGGACCTAATCGTGGCACTCTTCACTCACTTGGGAGACCTTGGGGTACTTTACCTCTGAGGCTAAAATAGGGACAGTTTTTCCTTCTGTCTCACAGGACATCAGATATTGTATATAGGCCATGCCTGGCATCTCATGAGTAGACGCTTAGTGAATTTTAGTAACCTTCCCCTTTTTGGGGGAGAAAGAAGTGACTTTCCAGTAGACATGTATAACTCCATACATTTTTCGAAGAAGGGGTAGCTGTGGGCAAGTTTGGAGTACAGTATGGAATCAACTCCATGACTCCTTCCTTAATTTGGAGTGCTATGTCTGTTTCTCCCCTGACAGTCTTTGGGAGGTATTTTCTAAATGAGCCAAGCCCCCAGTGTGTGTGCTTGAATTAAATCTTTCCCATGCCTCATTCTTCTCCTTGCCACATTTTCCCTGTCCTTCTCTCTCCTCCTCTCCGCCCTGCTGTTCTCTCTGATCTTGACCTTTGGCCTTTGAGGTTCCTGACAGAAAAGAGCATTATGCTTGCAGAGGCAACATATTTGCAGAGGCAGCGTCCTGCCGCGTTGAGACTTTGAGAAGACCTGATACAGGCTGTTGGTCACCTACTTCCTGTGTGGTGGAGGCGTTTTCCCATGACAGGTCCCTCAGGGGCTTCCACCTGTCTCTGGAATGGGACTTTCCCTGTCTTCCAAATGGTGAACAGTGAGTTCTCTTGGTGATTTCTGAGGCTGGGCTATTTGTATGATCAGCCCCATACTATTAATAGGTCCTTCTAGAACCTCTTATTTTCTCTTTCGCATTTGTTTGCCTGTCTTTACTTGTTAGACTGTCACCTAACACTGTTAAGGTCAGTAGGAAACTTGGTAGCCAGAGTAATGCTTTCAGTATAGTAGGTGTTCAGTAAATACTGGTGAAATATGTGAGAGCATGCTGTGTGTCACCTGTGCTGGACTGTGTGAAAGTCACGAGTCTTCACCCAGAGTTTCTGGACTCGGCGTTCCCACGGAGTGTTTCTGGACATTTCCTGTAAAATCTTCATCGAGTCTTCGTTTACTTTCTTCAAGATAAAAGTAAACCTTTCCTTAACATACCTTTTCTTAACCATTATTTAGTTATATATTTGTTGTTTTAATTACGAGTACTTAATAGTATTAGTTTAGCCATTTTGAATTATTTTGACCACTGTATCATAGTATTTCAGCTGCTTTATGCATTAGGTGATCTTCATCGGACTTTATTAGATCTATAAAAGCTTAGTCATTTCTGTGGGAAAAATGTTTCCTGAATGCTGAATGACTTAGAAATGACCACAATCAGAAGTTTTAGGCTGTTTGCTACATGGCTGCGACCTCTAAGCAGTGAGGAACTTTGAAAGGCCTTTCACCTATTTTTTCCTTCTAACAGTAAATTACAAAGTTATCTTATGACTTCCAGCAAAGTTACAAAATTGCCTTACGACTCCCCAGTACTTAAAGTCATACTGTCATTACTGTTATTGTGTAAGAACCTTTTATTTAATGCTTCCGTTTTGCTCTGGTAATCACTTGCAAGCTGACTGAGCTCAGACTCTCTTGCTCTGGACAGAGGGAAAGGCCAGGAGCTCTGTTATGGCTGACCTTGGCTGCCAAGGTAGGGAGGAGCTACAACCGGCCAGTAACTTTCATGCACTGGCTCTGTCGGATGAGCACAAGCTCATGTCAGAAACTCCCCAGAGCCACCCTGGGCCTGGGTGGCATCGATTCCTCGTGTGATTCTGAATGAAATTGATGAATGGGAGCAAACACTGATATTCTCCTAGAATGGCAGTGGGAGCCAAGAACAACTGAGATGAGTCTCCTCCTCTGTAGGTGTTGAAATAGGTGTTACAGTGTGCTTCCTGTAGTGCAATACTTCGAGGTTAAGTCCAGTTACTTGCTTTATTTATCTCTTTATTGCAAACACCAGATGTTTGGGTCATACTTTTAGGTTGATACTTATTTAATCTAAATGTGTTTTTAAAACAGATTTTTAATCTCTGGGTTTATAACATGATTTTTATGCCATTCTGTAGAATTTGTTTGGGAAAGCATCTTAACATATTTTTTAGGTTTCTGGAATCAAATTTTAGAGTGTGTTGGAATTGTCATTTCTGAGTTTAAACATTTCCATCAGTTGCTGGAAAGGCTGGTGTGTGAAGACCCCCTTCTGGTCCAGTGTAGTGTCAGAGGTCTCTCTCCTGCATGTCAGATAAGTTGGTCTGCTGAGCTGCTTGATTATAAGCATTAGCCAGTATAATACTGAGTTCTGAAAACTAGACCTTACCTGATTGTGACCCCGAATTTATTCAGTCTGTTAAGTTGTAGTCACTAGAACACATAGTACTTATTGCCTGAATCTTGGCTTTCAAAACTTGGAGGAAAAACCATTTTCTTCCCTGGTTTCTTGTTTTTGCCATGGCTGTGCTGTGCAGCTATACATGGTATGCTTCAGAATCTTTCTAGATTTTCTCAAGTTGTACATGAAAGATTCTTTGCCAATAAGCATATTTCGTTTAGTCTAACTGATGCAACCTTCTCCCTATAATGTTAAGTAACTTTGTTACTTAAAAACAGAATTAAAATTCAAGATTTGAAAGTATATTTGAAATATTTGAAACTTCATAGGGCTTTTTTATTAAAAATCTGTTTTTAAAAATCTACATATTATTTAAATCTGATTGTTGCTTCAGTACCATTGTAGTATATTAGCACTGTTGAAATTTTGTTCATTTCCAAAATTTAAGACTGTTCATATTTGAGAAAGGGTGTTATGAAGCAATTCACTTGTCAAATGTGAATATTTTTATACCAGTATAATTGAGTTATATAGATACATATTAATAGGAAAGATAGATTGCAGTTGTATTAGCAACCTAAATTGAGAGCTTTAATTTGCCTTTTAAAACTTACTCCTAGAGTGAACAACACCTTTTTAAAAAATATGTTTTACATTGAAATAATTAATGACTCCTGGGAAGTTGCAGAGATAGTACAGGGAGACCCTGTGTGTCCCCTTCACCCAGATTCCTCCAGTGGTTGACAACTTACCTGTAGTAGAATATCAGACCAGGATGTTGACACTGGTACAGTGTGTGCACGTAAGGCTGTGTTATTTCATCTTGGGTGTGGGTTCCTGTCACCACCAATGCAGTCAAGGTGCAGAACTGTTGCACCACCCTGAGGATCTCCCTCACACTAGCCCTGTGGGCCCAGCCATCCCTCTGCTTCCAGCAACCTTCACCCTGGGTAACCATGAATTTGTTCTCCATTTCTATACATTTGTCATTTCTGGAATGTTATATAAATGAAATAAACCATTCATGACCTTCAGAGACTCTTTTTTTTTTTTTGAGACAAGAGTCTCACTCTGTCACCCAGGCTGGAGGCCTATGACGTGATCTCAGCTTACTGCAACTTCCGCCTCCTGGGTTCAAGTGATTCTCCTGCCTCAGCCTCCTGGGTAGCTGGGATTACAGGTGCATGCCCCCACACCCGGCTAATTTTTATATTTTTAGTAGAGACGGGGTTTCACCAGGCTGGTTCAGGCTGGTCTCGAGCTCCTGACCTCGTGATCTGCCTTGGCTTCCCATAGTGCTGTGATTACAGGCATGAGCCACTGCACCTGGCTTAGAGACTCTTTTTCTACTTAGCACAACACCTCTGAGATCCATCCAAGTTGTTGTATAAGTCAACAGTTTGTTCCTTTTTTGCTGCTAACTAGGATTTCATGGATGGATGTACCACAGCATGTTTTAAACCATTCATCATTGTTGGTTGGAGTTTTTTGTTGTTTACAGGTTTTTGTTATAAATAAAACTGCTTTGAACAATTATGTACAGCTTTTTTGTGGACATAAGTTTTTATTTCTCCAGATCGATGTCCAGGAGTGGGGTTGCTGGTTTTTATGGTAATTATATGCTTATTTTAAGACTGACTAACCCTTTTCCAGAGTTATGTTTTTGTTTTACATTCCCACCAGCAATGCCTGGGACATCTAGTTTTGCCGTATCTGGCCGATGTTTGGTGGTATGTGTAGCGGTGCTTCCTCGTGGTTTGCACGTGCCACTCCGTTGTGGCTGTGACGTTGAGCACGTTCTTGCTGCGTGTTTGCCATCCTCAGGACTCTAGGAAAGTGTCTCTTCATGTCTTTGGCCCATTTTCTAATTGGATTTTTTTTTTAAACTATTGATACTGAGAGTTCCTTATATATTCTACGTAGGCGTCCTTTGGTCAGATACGCAGCTTACAAATATTTTCTACTAGTTTGTAGTTTGTCTTTTCATCTTCTGCAAAGATCTTTACATATTCAAAGTATTTAATTTTGTCAAAGTCCAATTGATTTTTTTTAATGGGTTATGCGTTTGATGTCCTGTTTAGGAACTCATCTTCCAGCCATATGCCCTGCGGATTTCTTCTTGCGTTGGCTTTTTTTTTGTCCGAAAAGTTTTACGTTGAGATCTGTGATCTATTTTGAGTTAATTACTGTATAAGATGTAAGGTTTAGGTCAAGGCTTTGGGGTTGTTGGGCTGTGTATATCCAAATGCTCTAGCGTCATTTATAGTGAAGATTCTATTCTCCATAAATTACTTTGGTGAATGCATCAAAATTAGTTGCCATACTTGGATGTTGGGGAGACTCTCTCTGGGTTCTTTATTTTGTTCCATTGATCTGTGTTTCTGTTTCTTCTCCAGTATCAAACAATCTTGGTTACTGCAGCTGTCTGAAAAGTCTTATAATCTGGTGGGCTGATTTCTCCCAGTTTTTCTTCCTTTACCCCCCGCCCACTTCTTTTTAGCTCTTCTAAACAACTTTTAGCTCTTTTAAACAATTTTGCCTTTCTATACACATTTTAGAATAATCTTGCCTGTATCTTTAAAGAAAATCTTCATGGGACTATGATAGTCACGAAGTAAAGACCTGTTGGCATTTATGGGTGACCAGGTTCTTCAGTTGCTAGTCTGAGATAAAAAGGGCAAGATGAAAACAGGAAATCACCACTGTCCTTTCTTGATACCTGAGGACTTGAGCTGGACTGCACTTTTCCTGCTTTTCTAGAATCATCATCATTTTAAAAAATTTAATGTTCAGCATTTTTTTGCTTTATTTAGGAAGAATAGGAAAGAGTACATCTGCTCTATCCTTCTGGAAATAAAATTCCCTTAAAGTTTTTGTTCATTTTCTATTTTTTAAATTGGATCTTAAACTTTATTATAGGAATTTTCACTGCATGAAGCCATAGTGTAATGGACTGCTGCATCACCATTGTCCCCTGGAAAACTTCTCTTTAAATAACCAGACTTGTTTCATCCGTATGTCTCATTTGGATAAAATCCTGTGTATAATTTGATTGCATTAACAAATTCAGCATTTACAAATTACAACCACAATTCCATTATCATACCATAAACTATTGAACAAGAATTTCTCAGATTAACACTTGGTGAGTCTCCCGGTTTCTGATTGTCTCACACACCTCTTCTTACAGTTGATCTGTTCTAGTCAGGATGCGAGGGCCCTTCTCTTGCACTTGTTACAGGTATCTCTCAGATCTGTTTTCATCTACAACAATTCCTTATCTTTGTTTTTTTATTTGTTGAAAAAACAGGGTTATTGGACATAGAGAATATCTGATATTCTAGATTTGTGTGAGTGCTTACACAAAACAACTATATTATTAATACATTTCTTTATTTCTTGTATTTTTGTTAACTGGTAGGTGGATCTAAAGGGTTGACCATACTCATTTTCAGTTTTCTTTTAGCTTTTCATTTTTTTGGGGAAAGAATACTACAGCAGTGCTTCTGTGTAGTCCTGTTGGTAACTGTAGCAGATGTGTGCATGTCTGTCTTTTAGTGATGAATAGATACAGGTGCTATCGACCGATCTTCCCAGTATAACGTTCTCCACCAGGCTGGGCGCGGTGACTCACGCCTGTATTCCAGCACTTTGGGAGGCTGTGGCGGGTGGATCACGAGGTCAAGAGATCGAGACCATCCTGGCCAACATGGTGAAAACCCGTCTCTACTAAAAATACAAAAAATTAGCTGGGCGTGGTGGCACGCACCTGTAGTCCCAGCTACTTGGAAGGCTGAGGCAGGAGAATCGCTTGAACCTGGGAAGTGGAGGTTGCAGTGAGCCGAGATTGCGCCACTGCACTCCAGCCTCTAGCCTGAATAACAGATTGAGACAAAAAAAAAAAAAAAAAAAAAAAAAAATTCTGAAACCTCAGGAGTCAGCTGGATGAATTCTCACTGTGATTAAACTGTGAATTATGTTTTATACGCTGCTTTTTATTTTTTAGGAGTTTTTTAAAAGTTTGCTGTAATTTGGCTTTTTAATTATATAAAATGTATCTGATTTTAAAGTGAACAGTATAAGATATATTCAGAAGTCTTAGCATCTATTCCTGTTCCCTTCCTCCCTCTATAGGTATTATACACACATACATGCACACACAGATATATGTGCACACACACAGAAGCATTTGCATGCATACAAATACACTCACAGATAGAGGAGCACACATAGAAACACAGATTTGCATGCCCTCACATCCCTCACACAGATATGCTTGCATGCATACATAGGTACACGTGTGTGCACAGATATGTTCACACACCAGGATGCACACACAGAGAAACACACAGATCCTCAGGTGCTTGTTCACAGTTATACATGCATATTATACACAGATACGCATGTACACAAACATACACGCAAGCACACACAAATACATATATACACATGCATGTGTGCACACAGATACGCTTGCACACACACAAGTTAGCCATGCATGCACACTCACATACATGCACACACACAGATACACACATAGATACATATCCACACAAAGATGAACATGTATGTATATAGTTATACATGCATAGAGATATGTATGGACATACACAAATTCTCTCTCCTCCCTCCCTTGTTCTTAACTATAATGTATTTTTCTATATATAATGTCCAGCACCTTGCTTTCTTCATTTCACAGTCTATATCCTAGAGATCTTTCCGTGTCAGTGTATCGAGGTCATCTTGTTTGCTTTACTTTCTTCTCTCTCTCTATTGCCGTATGTGCTCTGTTTTATTCAGCTAGTCCTCTGTTCCCCTTTGTTTCACAACAGTCTTCTGTTACTATAAATAATGCTGCAGGGAGCGGCTTTGTGTGTATGTCATTTTGTGCTTTTGCTATTCCATCGTTAGAATAGTCTCTGAGAAGTGGGATGATAGCATGGCCAGAGTAATGGATTTTCTTTATAGAGTATCTTAGCACGTTTGAAACTGGATAGGCCTGTGGGCATATGGTAACAATTACCTTGGTCTTAGCATTGTAGTTGTGCTTTTATGATTGAACATTTTTTATGATGGTAAATCTGATATTTTATTAGCAAGATAATACCATACACTCTTGGATATTTTTGTGTGTTTGTTATTTTGTTATTATCAGAACATACATTGAAAGTAGAAATGATCAGTGCAGTTTTTCTAAAATAGAAGACTGATTAATGTTAAACCTAATAGGCAAGAACAGCAAATAGGAAATGAGTGATTTAAAGGAATGTAATGGCCTACATCTTTTCATGAAACTTGTTTTGTGAATCAAGGAACATTGTGTAAAATAAAGATTTTTAAGGATTTTTGTTCCTGGGAATATCTAGGTTGTTATTTATTTGTCCTACTGTGCCCTGGAATTACTCTTTGATGGCACTTGTAGCTCAGGAAAAACCTTCTGTAACACAATTCAAGAGTGGTAAATTTTTATTTTCTACTTCCAAGGTTCGTGTTTTATTCGAACTGATCAACTAGATGGTGAAACTGACTGGAAGCTGAAGGTGGCAGTGAGCTGCACGCAACGGCTGCCGGCTCTGGGGGTGAGCAGCATCAAGACTACTCCATTCTTTTATCTTTAGTGGTAGTTTCTAGGTTTCACGCATATTTCTGTTTATACCAGCTAATTTATTTAATGCATTGAGAATTTGTTTTATAATTTCTTTATTCCTCATGAAGGTTCATTGAAGAATTATGCCAAAATAATTTCTGTGATGTCTTAGCACATAATCAGTTTTAGGTAATTGTGAATTTTCCTTGACACTTAGGTTTTCTTTCTCCTTCTGCTCACCTTCCTCCCCCTCCTTCCTCTCCTTGCCCCCCTCCCCTTCTTCTGCCTCCTCCCCTTAATGTCTTTTTTCTTTTTCAATTTATTTTATTTTTTATGTGACAGGTTGTCACTCTTTTGCCCAGACTGAAATACAGTAACGTGATCATAGCTCACTGCAGCCACAAACTCCTGGGCTCAAGTGATGCTCTCTCCACAGCCTCCTGAGTAGATGGGAGTACAGGTGCACACCACCATGCCCAGTCAGTTCTTAGTGTTTTTTTTTGTAGAGATGGGGGTCTTGCTATGTTGCCCAGGCTGGTCTTGAACTCCTGGCCTCAAGCAATCCTCTCACCTTGGTCTTTCAAAGTGCTGGGATTACAGGTTTGAGCCATCACACCCAGCCAGAAATTTTTATTTCTTATTTGGCTGTTTGCTCCTCTCCTTTGTGATTTTATATTGGTGTTTGCCAATTAAAAAGTACATACATGCTCGTGTGTGTAGAATCTTTCAAATCAGTGAAACCAGATACTCACAAATGAATATCCTGTTTTAAATTTTCACCTACTTAGGCACATAAAAGTGTTTTTCTTTCTTCTATTTTCTCTCTGTACATCACATGGGCTTCATTAGCCTTCAGATCAGGAGCTCTGTTTGAAAATCGTCCAAGCTGCTTCTCTGGGTCAGGCTTCTCAGTCAAAGCCAGGCAGCGAGATGCTACTCAGATGATTTGTTCTCATGGGTTTTTAATTTTCAGTGTTCTGTGATTGTTTACTTAAATTCTCTAGGATACTATGCATAATTTATATGTTTAGAGTTATTACAACTTACATTTTTTCATGGTTAGTGAATGAGGGAAGGTAGGTTCTACTGGACCAACAGATGAGCAGATTGGAGAGGCTGGGCTGTTGACAGCTACCTTTTACCTGCTTGGTGGTGGGTAGAGTCAACCAGGCAGCTATTACGTCGTGAAGTCATATGTCAGGGAGCAGCACCTCCTCACCTGAGGATGGGGCTGGGGTGTGTGTACATGCGGCAGTTCCTGGATCACACAGTGTGGCTTTCAAAGGAGCTGCCAAACAGTTTTCCAGAGTGGCCGTGCCATTGCCTGTCGTCACCAGCACCGGATGAGTGACCTGGTTTCTCTGTGTCCTTGCCGCCTTCAGTGTTGTCACCAGTTTTTATTGTAGTCATTCTGACGGATGTGTGCAGTGATACCCTATTATGGTTTCAGTTTGCGTTTCTGTGATGGCTGGTTGTGTTGAACATTGTTTCGTGTGCTTGTTTGCCATCTGCTTGTCCTCTTTGGTGATGTGTCCTGTTGACAGTCTCGGAGCAAAAGCATTCTGCCTTGGTGGATAATGCTAGCTGCAGCTTGTTCAGGGAGTGCCTGTCAGGGTGAGGAAGTTCTTTCTAGTCTTAGTTTGCTGAGAGGTTTTATCGTGAATGGGTGTTAGATTTTTCCAAAGCTTTTCTGCATCTGTAGGGATGATCATACGGATTTTCTCCTTTATCTATTAATATGATGGTATGTGGACTGATTTCATATGTGTTACACCAGTCTTGTGTTACTGGCATAAACCTCACCTAGTAGTCATACTGCATGTCTTTTTATTATGTCACAGTATTTGATATGCTGACATTTTGTTAAGGATGTTTTGTGCTGATGTTCATGAAAGATATGGATCTGTATTACCTTTGTTTAATGTCTTTAGTTTGATATCTAGGGGTAAGCTGGCCTTATAATAAGTTGGGAGTCTCTTTGCCTCCTGTAATTTTTCAAATAGTTGGCATAAAATTGGTATTACTTATTTTTTAAATGTTGAACAAACTCGCTTTTGGAACTGTGATCCTAGAGATTACTTTTTGGGAAAGCACTTGATTGTGAATTGAATTTCTTTGGTACAGAGTTAATCAGGTTTTCTCTTCATTGGAAATTTGTGTTTTTCAGAGAATTGGTTCATTTCATATAAGTTGACATTAATGGCATAAAGTTCATAATATTCCATTATTTTTAGCCATTTTAGGATTCCTTCTTTCACTCCCAATATTGGTAGTTTGTCTCTGTTTTATCGATCATTTTAAAGAACTCGTTTTTGGTTTCATTGATTATCTTTATTGTTTGTTCATTTTCTGTGGTATTAATTTCTGCTCTTTATTTCCTTCATTCTACATAGTTTATGTATAATTTTTTTTGTTTCTTCCTCTGTAAGGTGGAAGTTAGACCTTTGATTTTATAACTTATCGTTTTCTATTTATAAACTTTCAGAGCTATAAACCTGTTTCCAAGCATTGTTTACCTATGTCACACAAATTGTGATTTATTTAGTTAACAATAGTTAATAATTTAGTTAAAAAATCATTTTCATTTAGTTAAAAATATTTTCTAATTCCTTCATAATTTCTTCTTTTCATCCTTTGATTATTTGGAAATACATTGTTATTTGCTAAATAGTTGGGGATTTTCCCAATGTCTGGTAGTTTATTGTTATTTAATTATCTTATGGTCACGGAACATATTCTGTTCTATTTCAGTCCTTTCACATATATTGAAACTTGTGATATGGCCCAGCATATGAACTCTCTGGGTCAGTATTCCATGTGAGCTTAAAAATAATGTTTGTTCTGCTATTGTCTGGATGTTCTGTAAATGTTCATTAGGTCAAGCTAATGGAAACTTGTTTAAAAAGTTTTATAGTTGTTTTCTACCATTCGTTCTCTGAATTACTGAAGAAAACTTTTAAGATCCCATACCTTCTGTAGATTGAACGAGTTCTCCTTTTGGCTCTGTTACTTGTTTCCTTATCTCTACTGAAGCACTGTTACTGGGTTCATACACATTCACAATTATTATGTTTTCTTGAATATGCCGTTTTTCATTATTCCTGGTAATATTCTTTGTTGAGACATCTATTTTGTTCTTTACTATTATAGTGATTCCAGCTTTTTTAAAATTAGCATTTACATGGTATATCTTCCATTAGTTTTTGTTTTCTGTATCTTTTTCTTTGATTTTAAAGTGTGTTTCTTAATGTAATAAAAGTAGGTACTGCTTTTTTTATTCTGAGAATTGCTGCATTTTTATTGTGTACATTTGCTGTAATCATTAATGTGGTGCTTTTTTTATTCTGAGAATTGCTGCATTTTTATTGTGTACATTTTGGGCTGAAGTCAGTCCTTTGACTCCTTAGGTTCGATTTATCCCATTTCTTTCTTTTCTTCATCTTTTGGTGGTGTGTTATGTTTCCATTTAGTTCCCATTGTTAGCTAATTAGCTATGTGCGTTAGTTCTGTTTTGTGTCGTTATCATGTTTCCGGTGTGTTTTTAACTTACCACAGTCTTTCTCCATGTCACTTACAGTGTAAGAGTCACGCACAGTGGATGTCCGTGACTTCCTTCCCATCCTTTGTGTTTGTGTCGTCTGTCTTACTTCTGCATATTATTAGCCACACAGTGCATTACTGCTTTTGTTTTGTTTAAAGTTGTCAGGCATATTTCAAAGATAGTAAAAAATGAAAACAGTATTTTCTGTTCACCCATGTGTTTACCTGTTCTGGAACTTCTCTTTCCTGTGTGTTGATCCAAGTTTCCATTTACTGCCAATTTCCTTTAGCTCTAAGAACTTCTTTCAATGAGTCTTGTAGTGAAGTCTGCTAGAGACTTCTAGCAGAAGTCTGTCAATTTTTGTTTGTTTGAAAATTGTCTTTATTTTGCCTTTTTCTTTCTTTCTTTCTTTTTTTTTTTTTTTTGAGACAGAGCGAGACTCTGTCACAGAGGCTTAAGTGCAGTGGCGCAATCTCGACTCACTGCAGCCTCAGCCTCCCGAGTAGCTGGGATTATAGGCACGTGCCACCACCACGCCTGACTAAATTTTGTATTTTTTTTTAAGTAGAGACAGGGTTTCACCATATTGGCCAGGCTGGTCTTGAACTCCTGACCTCAGATGATCCGCCCACCTCTGCCTCCCAAAATCGGGGGTTACGGGTGTGAGCCATCATATGGGGCCTATTTTGCCTTCACTTTTGAAGGATGTCTTGAAGTTTTCATTTGACAGTCTTTTCTTTTTTATCTTTGCCTTTCAGAGCTTTTATTTCATCTTATGGCATCCATAGTCCTGAAAAGACGCTTACAGGCATTCTTAGCCTGACTTCTTTATCCTCTGTGCCTTTTTCTGTGGGTATTTTGAAAGCCTTTCCTGTTCTGACTGGCTTTCAGGAATTTAAGTATGATGTGTTTTGATTTGTCTTACTTGGGTTTGTTGGGCTTCTTGTATCTGGAGTTTCATGGTTTTTATCCAGTTTCAAGATTTTCAGCCTTTATTTTTCTTATCTTTCTGCCCAAACCCCTCTGAGACATGACCAACAAAATTAGTCTAACTACTAATATCAAGTTAGTCTAACTACTCATATGAAAAAAGAGTAAGAACTTCAATGACGTGGGAATATCAAGTACTCAGATTCCCACATGCCACTGATGCTCTTACTCTTTTTCTCAGCCTTTTTTTTCCTTCTGTAACTCAATTTCGATAGTATCTGTTACTCTGTCATTAAATTCACTAACATTTATCTTTTTTAGTATCTAGTCTTCTGTTAAGCCCACCCAATGAATTTTGTTATTCCGAGTGTTGTAATCTCTGGATGTTCCATATGTTTCTATCATTTTTGTTTGAATACCTTTTCTGTTCTTTCCTACTATGTATATAGCTTCATTGGACTATTTCCATGGTTTATAATGCTGAATTCCATGTGTGTTAACTCCTTTATCTCTGTCACTTT